GATCACTAAAGAAATGAACTTGAGAGAGAGATAAATGCATTGTTTTCTCATAGAATAAGGTGGAGTGTAATAGGCTTTGGGGCTATTGCGTAAGGGTTTATGGTGAGAGATGATGAAAGAGGTTTTTCCTAAAAAGATATTTTGGGAGGGAGAACTTGAGAGAGAGATTAAAAGAGAAAGAGATGAGTGAAATATGAGAAATATTATAAGAGAGATTTAAGATGGGAGTTATCACATAGAGGGAAAGAGAAATAATGAGTTTGTTTATTATACATTTTTGGGAGTTATGCCAAGATAGAGAAAATAAAGCGTGAGAAACCGTTGAGAGAGACCTTTGAGAGGGTGAGATTTTAGGAAAATAAATGGGACAAAGATTTTGTGAAAGATGGAGAGAGAGATAAAAACTGTTGAAAGGAAACAGTGGAAGATATAAATAAGAGGGATGTGAGATTTTAGGAAAATGAATGAGGGAGAGATTTTAGGAAAGAGGGAGAGAGATAGAACCAGTAATGAAGGAAACCGTAGATGATATAAATAAAAAATATAAAAGAGAGTCTTTAAAAAAGATATAAAACATTTAAGGAAAGGGATAAGAGGGAGAGAGAGATATAATCGTGTGGGGCGTGGGGAAGTGAGAGAAAACGTTGGGGAGGGTGATTTATTAGAAAGGAGAAAAGATGGGACACGTGACATAAAACAAGAGAGAGCAGAGAGAAAATCGTGTGGGTGGGGAAAGTGATTTATTAAAGCAAAGAAAAAATGAGACATTTGCACAAAATTAGAGAGGGTATCCCTCTCGCTTAATATATAATAGATAGATATACAATGTAACTCAATCTAACATTCACACAAAAAAATGTAATATACTCGATCTAATATTAGTAACTATGGATGGATATTTACTAGTAATCTAGGTCCGGAGCATTGGAAAGTAGTTTATAGGGCCCTATGACATCCCAAAGAGATTATGGATATGGGCACATCATGGTGGCGAACCTGGTACATCAGCGCACATTGGTTATTAGATTTCTAATCAATCCAAGTCTACTAGTGGTTAGAACTTAATCTTTGGTGAGGATGTAATTAAATGGGTTTGAAAGAAGCAAATATGTCTCTATAGTTTTACCATGGAAGCTTTAATTGCCTTGATGCTTGCTAGTGTAGAGGTAGAATGGCTAAGAAACTTCTGTTAAAACATATGCCATTTGTTCATGTGGCTAAAATCTCGATTTACTGAGAGTGAATCTTCTATTTACTGAGAGTGAATCTTCTATTTACCGTGCAAAGAGTAAGATATGTAATGTAGAATCATGGCATATCAGCTTAAACCATATCAATTGAGACAATAACTGGAAAATTAGAGTAACTACAATAGAGGATGGAATGTCAAACCAAAACTAGGTTAGTCGATTAACTAAGAGCATTGCAAGGGACCCAGTCTAGAATTACAGTTAAGAGGATGGGATTGAAACTTATTTAAGATGAGTTATAAAGTGATAGGAACCTTGCCTAGTAGACAATGAGATTCCGAAACCATGTTCAAGGGGAGTCACAGTTAATATAGTGACATGTGATTTAAGAGATTGAGCTTTACTGTTAATTTGTCAATATGTAGATTACGATGTGCTTAGGTAATAATATTGAGTTACAGGGAACCTACACGAAGACTTCGATGGAAGTTTGCCATTCTCTAAAGAGCTCATGAAAATGGGGACTTAGTATAGGGCATTTACGTACAAGCTTTCTACAGAGGCATAGTATAGTGAGAAAATGTGTAGTATGCTGATGTTTTAACTACAAAAATGTACAGATTGAGGTTCGTCCACTCGCTAAAGCATTTTGCATAATACTACATGAAGGTTCGAAGTCTCTTGAAAACCTTTGCTTACGCATTCTCTTCCAAAATTTTCTAAAATCAAAGTCAATTTGTTTTGGGACAGGCATATTAATGTTGTTTCAAAACAACTAATATAATTTTTCTTTGTTTAGGCATTTCAAGGCAAAATATAGTTAAGGAGAAGCTTATACTCTGAAATTGCCTATAGACAAGGCTCTCTTTGGCTTTATAAGTGGGAATGTTCCTCAGCGGGACTTAAAAAGTAAAGATTTTCACCTTGGTTGCTAGTAATTTGCTAATCCCCCTTGCAGTTAATTGTTAACCAGCTCTCTCTTTCAATGTTCTTCCACTTTGAATTTTAAATCAAAGCCAAACCCAAGCCATCAGCATTGAAGAGAAATGTTTGGAGACTATTTTCTACAGGCTTCTTCTGATCATGTAACATAAAGAAGATTTCACAGTGTTTCACTCAGCTGTTTTATGTCCTAAAAGCATATTCATCGCTTACGGATTGCATCTTGGAATTTCGAAGTTGAGAGGCGCTTAATATCTTGAAGACAACGAGAGTATCCCATGCCTCTCAATCCGTTGTCAAAATAAAGTTCAACTTTCCACAATATTTGAAACCTTGTGTGCATTTTTCAAAAATTGGGCTTTAAGCTCTGCTTGAAAACCATGTGCCCACTCCCATAGAGAAGTGTGAGCTTTGCAGTCACAATCTTTGCCTGTTCTCAACCCTGTTATTAAAACATGCTGTTTGCCATTGGGATTCTTTTTCACAATTCACAAAGACATGGCCGCAGTTGCAGTTATGTTCCCTCAGGGAGTCAAAATATTCATCAGTCAGTCAAAAGAGGAACCTATTGAAACCCTCAAGTCCCAACTACAATTATATTATACTAGAACTATTTTGCCCTAAATCTGTCTTAATAGCTACTAATACACTTCTCATACCAAAGGCTGCCTCCTTTCAAAAGGCTAAGTCAACTGAAAGCACCTCATGTCTAAGTATGAAAAGAGTTGCATAAGATGATGCTAAAGGAAGCAGATTTAAATAATAATGCTTGATAGACATGACACTGCGACGCCTCATGTGTCACCCATTTCGATTTTCCTTCCTTTTTTTTCTTTCTTTATACAGCCATTTAAGAGATATAAAAGTGTCCCATGCATGATACATGGCTGTATTCCTTGTTTGCTCCTAATGAAAAAAGGAGATTAAGAATGGACTCTACACATAGGCGGTCATGGGGACATACATCTTGAATTCTATTCCTACCTCACATGGAGGACCCTTTTCCCACTAATCTATTCAAAACTGTATATATATATATATAGAGAGAGAGAGAAGAAAAAGAAGCTAATCTATTCAAAACTATATATATAGAGAGAAAGGAAGGAGGGGGGGAAGAGAGAGAAATTGACTACATCCATACAGATTACCATCATAGAGAATCAAAGTCATCCTCCACCATCGATTATGAGAACCAAAAGATGGATATGCCACTTGGTGTATAGTGTTTTGTACTTTTCATACACAGATAACGTTAGAAACTGAAAGTAACTGAGTAATTGAGCTGAGGTCAGCCTCAAGATATCTTGGTGGTTTGGGAGGCTGATAACCATCACAACAATATGTACATAGATATGCCTTTCTTATCACAAATAAAAATAGTTTGGCTTTGAAGAATATCAACAATTTCATTAAAAATTAGAAAAATGGTTCATTTTATTCATCACAAACTCAAATTTATAATAAGAAAAATATCTCCATACCTTTTACTTTTAAGTTTCATTTCACAATAGACCCACGGTTTTAAAAAGATATCTTGAGGCATAAAAATTATAAATTTTATTTCTTCTAACCTCCGGAGCTAATTTAAACCGGCCTTTTAGGCCAAACAAATCTAAAAAGACATATCTTTCTAAAAACCATCATCCATTTCTAAACATCTCTCCCTTCTCTACCAAAACCCTCTCCGTATTTCCCCATTTTCTCTCCCCGTCTCTTTCTCTTCCCGTGATAGATAGATTAATTGCAAAACCCAACCAATGATCATTTTGATAATAGACAAATTGTATAACCCAACCAATAATCAATTTGATAGAGTGATAGATAGACAAGTTGCAAAACCCAACCATTGATGAATTCAATAATAGACAAATTGCTGAACCCAACCAATAATCAATTTGATAGACAAATTGTATCTGCCAACCCATTTGAAAGCTCCAATTTCACAACTAACCTCCATCGAACCTTTGTACTCCATCTCTGTTCTCCAAATAATTTTAAATGTTTATGTTGTAGAGAAAGAGTTGGGTGTGAAGAAAGAATAAGAGACGGGGGGAGAGAAAAAAAATAAAAAACACGAAAAGAGAGAGAGGGACGGTTTGGGAGATGGGGAAAGAGAGATCGGGAAGAGGGCACGGGAAGAGACAGAGAGGGGGGAGAGAAAGAACAGGAAATACAGAAAGGGAGAAAGTATTGAGAGAAAAATAATAATGGAATGCATAGAGAGATAGAGGATTGGGAGAGAAAAAATAGAAGAAAACGGAGAGACGGGTTTGGGAGATGGGGAGAGAGAAGACGAAGAGAGAGAAAGGTTTAAAAAAATGCACCTTTTTTAAGTTTGACGGGAGAAGAGAGAGTAAAAGACGTAAGAAGAAATAAAGAAATTTGGTGTATATAAATGAAGTGAGAGAACAAATGGAGTTTAAAAAAAATATGCCTTTCTCACAATTATTTAAGTTAAAACCTATATATAAACTGATCAGAGAGTTAAAAGATATCTTTTGAAACTTTGGATTTATCAATAAATGAAACCTAAAAATAAAGAATATGAAGATATTTGGCCTTTATAATAATTATATGATATTTCTTGCCGTACTGTAAAGAAGGAGAAAACAGTATAAAAATTTATCTAGCTATTCTTATTGTTGAGATAGTATGGGAACGAAAAATCAGCGAATCAATTTATCAAGATGATATCCCAAATTAAAGCCAATGAAAACCAGTCATTCCTGCCAAAGATTTGGATCCCAGACCCAAGTATAAAAGTACCATACATCCAATCTTGGTTATGGTTAGTTGATGAAGTTAACATTTAATTAGACATTCTCTACCAAGCTACATGCAACTAATGCAAAATAGATTCTCAAAATGTAACAGGCACAAGAAAAAATGGTAGAAATTGATAAAAAAAAGGGACCAAGAGGAATCTAAAATTATCCCTTTGTCCTTTAGTCCAATGGTCTAACACAGGATTCTACAACAATTAGAAAACTTCCAGAAAGAAGATGACAGTCTCCCAGTCATTTTTTTATAATAAAACAAAAATGAAAGGGAACGGAGCACCAAAGTAGCAACTTGTGGACACAAATGCCTCTAACTCATCAATTCATTCATATAATCGCTGGATTTGGCCTCAATACCTCCAAGGAAGCGACTCTCTTTATGCCAAAATTTAGACCATATCAACCTCAAAGCCTTTCACCACCTTTCACATGCAGATCGCCAATATGCTTCAAGAATAAAGTAGAAAGAACACGGGTTTCAACCCCAACTAACGATCTTCTTAGGTTTGTCTAGTGCCCCTCACCACGAGTGCCAGAAAGGCGCGGTACTACCAGTGGCCCGCCTCGAACTTTCTCAATTGCAAAGCTAATACGAAGAGGACGACCCAACAATGCCTGTCCAAAAGGATCTGCAGTGGTTATGCCTGGTGTGTGGAGAGAGAGAGAGACCTCACAAAACTAATTACACTGGAAGCAGTATTCTCTAATATATGGGCTCTCACATCTTCTCACAATGCTGAAAAATAATCACCAAAATTATTCTGATAATCAACACATTAATGCAAATTTGGTAGCTCACCTTCCCATCCATGGCATCTTTGGCACATTTTGCTTCATCCTCATTGGAAAAGTATATAAAGCCGAACCCCCTGGACCTCCCTGAATCTCTGTCATATATGATCCTAACTGAAAACAATGTACTCACAGGGATTAGTTGAAGTCTGAAAACAGATACTGCAGGTACATGTTAACTAAACAAGAGTAATCACAGTGAACTATAATGCAGCCAGTATTTTAATATTACCATCCACACGTGCACTAAAAATTTGACTAGCTATTATCTGATGCATCTGAACCAATTCTTACCTTGCATAAATAGACAAATGCCTGGTGCCCCTAGTTTTCAATTTCATAATAAAATGTCTTTGACTAATAAGTAACTATGTTTATTAATGGTCTAACAGGAGAAACAACACAGTAAGCTCCTATGCTATTAAATCCAAAATGCTTTTTTGAGTAGCCTTGCTTAGCTCTGCCTAGAATTTGTTGCAGGTTAGCACCTGCTTTTTGGAATCGAAAATAGGCAGCGCATCATAAACCAGGTCTTGGGTACTCAAAAGCAAGAAGAGAAGTATATCATGGTTTGGATGCCTAACCAATCTAGAAAATTAGCCATATACACCATGAACCTCTAGATCCTGTTTCCTTTTCTCTGGTTTGTTAAAAAGCTGGAATATTACAGATTCCCAAACTTCATTTTTTATATTCTTTTGGGAAAATATTTGATTTGTATTGTATTAAATATAAAATCAGCAGCTTACAACATTGCGCAGCAAGACCTGCCAGTTACAATTAGAAATGAGAAATAGAAAAGACTGGAGGGTCTGGGAAGAGAATGAGAGGAGGGAAAAACATACATGTGCTAGTTCCTTTACAAAAAGGCTACTGGAAAATAGACTTCCAAACCCAAAGAGGTGGACGGTTCTTAGGGGTGGGCAAGGGGTGACCACTGATAGGGATTTGGGAGAGACTGGTCTACAAGAACTAGGATGGGCCTGTGACTGATTATTGTAGATAACCAACTAGTAGTGCCCTGTTTAGCCAGGGAGTCTGCCTCAGTGTGGCCTCTCTCTAGTCATGTCTATAGGAGACGTCATATGGCTGTCAGGTTGAAAGTTCGGTTGATGATATGTTGTGGCTGCCACGGAATTGAAGAATCTTCCAAAGCTCTGGCAACAACATTTCTGAGTCGCTCTCTAGGAGTAGGGGGGTACCCCCGTTTTCATCAAACCACTTAAAATCCTCCGACAGGTCTTTTTGCTTCCGCCACAGTAGACTTCCAAAGCCAACAAGACACAAGAATGACACCACCACCTGCTACGTACTAGCCCAAAAAATCCCTCAAAACCAGCCTGGGTTGCCAAGGTAGACACCTTCAAAGTTAAGCTGGATAGCACCCAGAGGGGGAAACCAAACGTAGAGCGTTCAATATTCATAGGCCTATAGCGAACGATTACTTTCCAGTTAGTGGAAAAAATGTTTGATTGAGAAACCCATAAGAGACTTTCCAGTTAGTGGAAAAAATGTTTGACTGAGAAACCCATAAGAGATTTTTGTAATTCCTGGCCCAGAAAATAACACTTTCAGAAATTTTGACAACTACTTTCACTGTATGAGACTTACAACCCTCACAAATTCAAGTATTTCGTTCGATCCACATGCTCCAAATCATTCCCAAGATCATGACTCGCCACATAATTAGACCTGAGACAGGTAAAGAAGGGGAGAAGAACGTGATAAGCAATTGATCAACTACTCTAAGGCCCAACTGGACCCATCCAAAGCCCAGTAAGTTTGATGCCCTCATTTTGCTCGTTTCCTGGCAGTATAGAAACAAGTGATCAATTGATTCTTCCTTGCGCATGATAAACTGAATTTGCTACTATCATTAATGTCAGTAACAATTCCTCTTGGTATTGAGGATGTAGTCAATCATTACAAGCTGTCAGAATCCACATCCTTGTCCTTAAAATGACAAAGTAACCTCTGATTAAAGGAATATAGAAAGGGTGCGGTTTGTATAGAGCCAAGGCTCTAAACAATCAAATTAGAGCCCACCTTCAAATAGTGTCGAGAAATGTGGTTTCAATATTGGAAATCTTTGACTAGCCTTAAAATATTTTTTCATCTTTAATTATAAAATTTAAAGCTTCAAAAATAGTGTAGATCGAGCAGGTCTATGAAAACTTGAATAACTTAAAAATTGATGGTCCAAAAATGCGTTACAAGATGCACTATTTCCAAAACTTGAAATCCAGTTTTTTCTCAAGTCCATGCATCTTGATGTCGATATGATCAATTTGAGGATATTTGGGCATCAAAACAACCTCTTCTAGTGAAATTTTTCGAGGTAGGCTCTAATTTGATTGTTTAGAGCTTAGGATCTATATAAACTTTTCCCATATAGAGAACACCAAAAAAACATGACTTTTCTTAAAGTCCACAAGAGTTGCAAACACCCTAGTCACTTCCCCATAGACTTGGACATAACATTGCTAGTAAAAGTATAGTAGGATTCATAAACAATGAACAATCAGTTGCAATTTGCCAGCAAACCATCTAAAGATCTCCAACATGGAACTTTCAAAGATGGTTCTTGAAGCCCATCGGAAGCAATAGAAGGCTTTTCAGAACCATTAAACTGAAGTAACCAGTAAGGTTATAGCCAAGCGAAGTCTCATACGAAACCTGTTCAACTAAAAATTAGAAGAAGTGCAAATTTCCATATTCCATATAAGGAAAATATAGTGTCTAGTAGGTGCAAAAATTATCGATTTTATAGTCCTCAAATAGGTTGAATTCGTAGTTAACACACCACAAATTTGTAACCACTGTGACTGCAAAATTCTCTTTTCCTTTTACAAATATCTGGTGTGTTATCCTTGGGCTCTTTGACTGCGTGTGGATGTGCCTGAGACTGTCCAACTGCTCTTCTCAGGTTACTTTGCCCACCCCTGCCAGCCAATGAACTTTTCCTTTGGCACACTACCATGCAGGCCCCAGATTAGGCTACATGGCTGGCGCACAACTCCCACATTTTTAGGGCAAAGAAGAATCTTTGGGGAGTCAGCCCCTGTCATGTCTCTGGCGAGAAATTGTAGAGTTTTCAGGAAGAGAGCTGCCCGATTTCACACAAAGCTGGACCATCATTCTCAATATGGGACTAACGGAAGTGTCTAAAACCAATTGGTGGGTCCATCAGAGTCAAATTTTGACGTTTGTTCTCTTGGCAAACCCTGGTCCGGTAAACGTTTTGGAAGACATGGGAAGTTGCGGCTTCCAAAACAGCATAACACTTTCTATTAACAAGCACTGGAAGTGCTACAGTAACTGGAAGACACGACTTCCGGTTATCAAACATGCCCTAAATCATTTTACTAGCAAGAGCTAGATGAAGAGAGACTCCTCAAGATCATAAGAAAACAAGAAAGCAAGGTAAACCAATGTCTATCAACCAATTAATGGAATAACCATGCCCCCAATCTACCTTGATGTCTCCATCGCTCTAAAGACTTCTTGAGCAGTAAATGATTGCCTAAGCCTAATAGGACCTAAAAGAGGCCATAGCAAATGAATGCCTAAAAACACATTAAAAAAAACACATTAAAAAGGCAAAGGGATGGACAAACGGTAGCATTAAGTGTAAATTGAGTTGAAAGAAGAATTGGTTAAACCTAATTTACTGCTTAGAAATCGATTTCTATACATTTGAGAGCAGATGGGATAAGATAACCAGAAGTCTATGCAGAATCTACTTTAAATCAGTGAATGGGGAAAACACAACATAAAAACATCAAGAACACAAATTCCAATCAAGTTTAGAGTAACCATATATTGCCATGAGCGAGTTTACAACGAGAAAACAGAGCTTTGAATGGAATCAAAGCCAAGTATAGAAACAATAACCAACAATGATTTGCATTGGAGGAATAACTAACTACCAGGAAGACAAGAAATTGTTTTAGATTTTATTACAGTTTTTTTTATCCGGCAGTATTGGTAATTATGATAAATTTTTCAGCCAAACACCAAGAATAAAATCAATAAAGTCCCATTGACCTAAAAAAAGAAAAGCCATCATGCAAAGAAACTTGACAACAAGAAGTAAAGCATAAAAAGAGAAATGAAATCGATAAAGAGAGGAGCAGCAGTTGTAATGAACCTTCGGTGACATCTCCAAATGAAGAGAAGGAATCCTTCAGAGACTTCTCATCCACTCCCCATGATAGACCTTTCACATACACATAGCAGGTTACATGGAGAGAGAAAATCCACTCCCCATGATAGAACTTTCACATATATTGAGACACAGAACTAGAGAAAGAAACAGAGGGGTAGAGAGGAAAACCTCCAACAAAGAGTCTAGAAGAGGAAGTGGACATGCAGCGCCTATGGAGGAGGGATGAGGAGAGAAGAAGAAGGCGGGTCCACCCCCCATTCCTCCCTGCAATTCTGCTGAGCGCCATTCTTCTCTCTCTAATCATTGGTCTTCCTGGTTTATAACCACAGGGACTACACTCCTTTCCTTGGGCCAAAAGAATTATGGAAAATGGTTTGACAGGGCTGCAGCCATATCAAAATAAGTAAATCCTCACCTCATAACGCATCAAAAATTGCAATTCAAAGTATTGAAAAACCTTAAAGATGAATGCAAGTAGGTGTTCCAGCTAAAAACAATGGAAACTAACGGCTCAAATGTTTTTTTACTATAATTGTTATTTTTAATTTTAAAAATTTATTTATTTTTTCATATTTATGATCTCCATGTTAGATATTACATGTCCTTAAAAATTAAGTCTTAAAATCCATCTCAAAAATAGATTTATTAAGATGTCCACATTTCTACATGTGCCAGCTTGGCCACATAGAAACCAAGTGTTATAAGCTTGGGACCTTTTGCGATCCTTGGAAATCTTTTTTTAGGATTGAGATTTCCGGATAAGAGGTCATTGATCCTTTTATTCCACTTATTTTTTTCCTTAAAATAAAGCTTCATTTCAAATCCTCGTCAAGAAAGTATTTTCGGCACCAGAAATATCTATTATAGCTCTAAAATCAATTTTCAACACCAACAATAAATTTTAAAACTCAAAAAATGTATAGATATTATGGATTTGTGAAAACTTATTTGTAGGGCGAAAAATATGGTTTAGATAATTTATTGCAATATACATTATTTTTAAAGCTTAAAATCTTTTTTTCATTCACGAGAATAATGTTCTAGCCAAGACGATCAATGTAAATGTTTTTTAGTGCTTGATTTGTAATTTTCAATGAGTTATGAGTTGGGGCTTTACTTATTTTGATAAGTTTCTATAAGGCCTAGGCTTTATGAAAATAAAATAAAACCTCACCTCAAATCCTCATCCTTGGAAAGTACTTTTAGCGAAGAAAAACTTTATGATGGCTAAAAAATTAATTTTCAGTAGCGATAATAAAATTTAAAACTAAAGAAATGTACATATCTTGTGGAAATGTGAAAACTTATTTTTAGGGCGAAATAGATAGTCTAGATGATTTGTTGCAATATACACTGTTTTTAGAATTTAAAATCCTAATTGTTTTACACAACCATAATTTTCAGGCTGAGATGATTAATTTTAGAGCCGTTTGGGTACCTGAAAATATATTACATAGAAATAGATTACTAATAAATATCAAATTTACACTATTTTAATATATTACATAGAAATATATTTACTAATCAATATCACATTTATACTATTTGGATATACTTTATTAGTAAGGAAATGAAAATAGTTTACACAATATTTTTTCTAAAATCTATTAAGTACGCAAGGGCTGGGAAATTTGTTAAGCTCGTGCTCTCTCTTGCTTTATAAAAACAAAAATAAAGCCTCACTTCAAATCTTGAGTAAGCACTTTCACCATTGAAAATGATTTCATGATAAAATTTAAAATTCAAAAAATATTACAGATCTTGAGGATCTAGGAATACATATTTTCAGGACGAAATGAACGGTCTTGATGATTTGTTGCAATATATATTATTTCTAGAATTTGAAATCCTAATTTTTTTTGGATAACCATAATGTTCAAGCCGAGATGATCGATTTAAAGATTCTCAATAATTGAATTGCAATTTTTTGATGCCTTATGAAGTGGGGCTTTAGTTATTTTGATAGGGTTGCATCCCTATCAAACCATTTTCCATCTTTAAGATGCTTTACTTTTTCTGGCCGCCTATGTAGAAATGCGGTCCAGCCCTCTTGGAACAATTTTCCTATAAAATATGATAACCCGACCCCTATAAAATAGAAAATTACTCACTTATCCATAACCCAAAAGAAAACATTCATGGCTTCGCTCAACGTCACGTTGTGTTCTAAGCCCCCTGTTCTTCTCCTTAAGTCCTCTTATCAGTCCAAATGCAAGGCCTTTTTCTTTTCAGAAAGCTCGAATTTGCAGAAATCCCTTTCTGTAAGCACAATTTATCTATTTTTATGTTCGCTTTCTCTCTTTAATGGTAGAATTCTCATGTTTTTGTTACAGTTGCAGAGAACGAATAAATCACAGCAAATTGAAGTTTTTTTCTCTTTGATTGGTGAGGCAGTTGCTAGAGCTGGCTTTCTGGCTCTTCTTGGCTCCTCACTTGACTTTGTTGATCCTGCCCTTGCCTATAAGGTACATTTTCTTCCATAATTTTGTTAAATACTTTTTTCTGGTTTTTTCTTCATTTTTCCTTCTCTCCGTAGAAATTAGGTTCAAAAGAATTTCTCTGCATCATTTTATGCATGGAGTTATTTCTAAGCTCAGCTATTGATTTTGTTCTTCTATTTTCTCATTTTTATCAATTTTTTTCCCCAAAATGAGATGATAAGATGCTTGCTCATAATTTCGGCTATGTATGCTGTTGTTTTATGGAGAGTAGTGTGTGATGTCTACCTGACATTTATATTTTATTGATATTATTCATTAATTTCTTAAAGAATTTGGACCCTTTAATGGGGCTGTATCTTTAGTGTGTTATCTGGATCTCCTTGAAACGTTGCACGTCCTCTGTCTAATTGATCTTTGTAGTGATGCTGAACTATGGAATCAGGAACGTGCAGAATCAACATTTTGACATGAGACATATACTGTGAAAAGGAAGTAGCAAACACAATGCCTTCTTATGTGGACAAACATAAAATGTGTAATTTTTTAATTTTATGTGGACAAACATAAAATGCTAGCAAATGTGTAATTTTTTAATTTTAGCATTACATTTCCTTTCAAATATGACATTTTTGAGGTTGTTATGGTCTTCAATGACCCATTAATACATTTCAAGTGATCCTCATCCTACCTTGCCAGAAAACAATACTAAATCAAGAAACAAAATCTTCATGCTCTTAAGATCGATGAGCTTAATGGTTACTCATGTGTTTTACCGCACAACTATCATGTTTGTGTCTCCTTTCCAGGTAACCTCTTTATTAATGTGAATGATTTGAAGGATGCAAACTAAAAGCTCTAATGAGTAACCTACTGTAAACCTTGTTCGAAAACTGTCCGTCCGTCCAACCTTCTCTTGCAATGTATTCTTGCATGAAGATGGGCGCAAAGAACAACTTATGCTTGGATGTTTAAAGAGTTAAAGTCCAGGGTGTCAAGAGAAGCTTTGAAGATGGCTAGTGTAGGTGCTTAGGAGAAATGAGACTCAGGGTTAGATGGTTTCTCTAGAGGTTTTCTCCTAGACTACTCATTTGTTAATGAAATCTGGATCAATGTGCATGTTCATAAGTTCCTTGAAAGATCAGTGTTACATTGGCACCTCAGTTTTTTGCTTCTGTCACCCGTGTGGACGACTAGACACACATTTGACACATGGTCCGTACTTGTTTGCCATGTTCTGCTGTTAAACAAGATTGCCATTACTCTTATCAGACATTTCATCTAGTTCCTTTGTAGTGTTTCCTAGATTTTCTATACAAATATGTCTATTGAATGCCTTGCTTTAGTAATAACACCATAGCATGCAAATTTCTTTTAAAACCTGGGATTCCTTATAGCCTTTAATCATGGGTCTTTCCTAATTAGATGGGTACCACACTCTATTTTATATAGTACAATAGAGATGGAAAGTGCCCGAGCCCTTGGACTCTGTCCTTCTCTGTTGTATTATAGGGTATTGGAGAAGTGCCGCCCCATTGCTTATGGTTTAGGCAAACACTTGCATTTCCGACCTGTTGATCGTTCTAGCATCATCAGCTGTATGGCATCTTTATGCCATACAAAGGCTTCGCAAATGTGTCCTAAACCACATTACAGTATTTGGCTGTCTCTTGCAATCTCTGTTTGCTTTGGTTTGCGTTGTTTACATCTCACTCCTCTCTATGTACAGATTTTAGATTAATTTGCTGTTTACACTGACTGCCCTTTGTTATTTATGTTTCCCTTATGTTATTTATCGGTAAACATTGAAGAAATTTTTAGCCGTTTATTTCTTTTCATTGCCCTTCTATTATATTCATGTCCTTGGGTGTGATTTTTGAAATCCTCTTTAATGATAATTTTTAAATCCTCTTTAGTGATGTCCATTTTGAACTAATCCATTGTTGGAAAGTCATAAACATGAACGCTCACCTTGTTAAAATTTAAGGGTGGTGGACCATATGGTGCTGAAGTTACAAGGGGCCAAGATCTCACAGGGAAAGATTTCAGTGGGAAAAGTTTGATCAGGCAAGACTTTAAAACGGTATATTCTCATTTCGTCCACTGTGTATATCGTCATTAGAATGAGTGCATGTTTATTTTGCATGCTATAATCTAGATTCAATAACCTTTTTTTGACCTATGGTCTATGACATGTATGTGTCTGATTCTTAACCATAAGAGACATTTAGGATTTCAAAAGGTACTATGTTGATGCCTTATGCAACTCGTATGTAACTGAAACTTGTGATCTTTGTCTTTTCTCACTTTTTTAGCCAATTCTTCCTTTAATTGCAGTCCATTCTTCGGCAAGCTAACTTCAGAGGTGCAAATCTATTGGGTGCAAGCTTCTTCGATGCAGATTTAACAGGTTGGTGCCCCTCTTCCCCTTGTCCATCATGTTTTCTATACTATTCGAAAGTTTATCTATCTGCATTTTGTGTATCTTTGTTAAAGCAGGTTAATATGAGTAATGATCCTATAAGCTCCTCACATACATGAGGTCTATAGGGCCCCAATCCATAACCGTAGGATCTTGTCCGCATCTCAAAAATAAAAGTGGATGCCAGGTCACCAGGTTAAGTGATAAACTGGTTCTCTCTCTCGCTCTATTTCTCTTCTCCCTTTCCCACCTATGATACACGTTCCACATCTCTCTCTCTCTCTCTCTCTCAACTTTTCTCATCCCCGTCTGCTGAGACCCTCTCATCTCTCTCTAAGCTTCTCTCATTTCCACCCAAATGCCCTGCCATCTCTGTGTATAATTTATTTTCTTTCCACTCTTCTCTCATCCCCACAAAACCACGTTTTCCATTTCTCTCTCTTTGAACTGTTCTCTCTCTCTCTCCAAACTTTTTCTCTCATCCCCACCCACTGGTGTCCTCCAACCTTCTTTTGTTCTAAAACTGGCAACTTTGAGCCATTAAACCTTGAGGCAATGCCACTCAAGGAGCACCCCCTAATCAAAAGCTGCACAGGGGCATAGAGATGAAAGCAAATATGTTTCAGAATATTTGAAATTTATGAAGATGTTGAATCGATGCAAGAATTTGAGGGGTCACCCAAGCTCACATGCTAAACAGTTGGTGGATCTTTGCCTTTAGTCTGTTGGATTCATTGATATCCTTCTTGCAGCAAACACACCAGAATCAATTGCGAGAGATATCCTCTGGCTTGAGAACAGCGGTTTTCAGGAAGATACGAATGCCTTAAATTTTGGATTTAAATTTGGAAAGGAGGAGAGGGAGGGATGACTTGTTAGAGGGGAAGTAGTTGTGGCGGGGGCCTTGGTCATGGTTGAGCCTGCACACGCAGCAAAATTCAAATCCCTGCTTACAATTCTCCTGCTTTTCCTTCATAGAACTTGTGGCTTGGTTAATAACAAGAGTGACATGTAGATTGATTTTGAAGCATTTTTTGCCCTTTCTCTGGATTTTGTTTGGGCTCTCCTAAAGGTTGCCTACTGTATTGAAATATAACAATTAACGTCAAACCTAAGAAAAATTAGGGTTTTGTAGAGAGAAGAGAGAGAAAGAGAGAGAGGCTCAATTCGTCCAACTATTTCGTCTGCCATTCCACTCAAATGTCTAAGACCGAATCATTAGAAAAGTTAAGTTTTCTAGAGAGAGACCTTTCTGAAGGCGGGAGACAATCCGTACAACTATTAGGTGCTCTATTATATGGCTAGGTTCTCAAAATTTCAACATTCATCTTTTCAGGAGAGAAGAGAGGGCAATGGTGGGCTGGCACGAGAGGAGAAGCTTAGAGAGCTAAAATTTCTGGGGGAAGAGAGAGAGTGAGTCTTCCCTTTTACTGTTTGACCAGGTGAGCTAGTATCCCATCTATTCTCGAGATGCGTATGGGGCTTCACTGGTCACAGATTGGGGTCCTATAAAGTCATGTGTGTGTGAGGGACTCACATGATCATTACTTGGTTAATATTGGCTTTTAATGCTGTGAGGGACTCACATGATCATTACTCGGTTAATATTGGCTTTTAATGCATTCAGTCCGTATCTTTGTTGTAACAGGGATACAACGGCCATTATATTTGTGTTAAATAATATACTAAATTTTCTTAAATCTTGTTGGGAGTTATAACATATGTAATGTCCTTTTCTTTCTATATTTTGAACGATGTAATGGTTAAAATATATAAAGCTGTTGTTACGCATTATAAGACCTAATGGATTTTTTTTACTCATACAGAGTTTACTGTTATATAACATAGTGGGCAGAGGCCTCTTAGAACCTTTATTTTCATGCTTCTTTATCCGCATGTTCTACTAATTATAAGTTTAGTTTTTATGGTTTAAAAGACTTAAAAGGTAAATTAGATTTCTGGCTCCATCAAACAATGGATTAATTTCCGTGATAGTTATAGTTTGAAACATTATTATGTTCCCCTGGTTAGTGGTTGTGGGTTTATTTTTCATTTTTTTTTAGGGTAATTTTGGATCTATTTTTCACGAAATTTTTATTAGCTAACATCCTTAAATGATTGATTTTATTGTTAAATTTACACAATCTACTTTTAAATCTATTGGTTTTTGTAGTTACATTTACGTAATTTAATTATGGGATTTAGTTAAGTCATAAAATATTAATCCCTGATTTCTCTCAAAAAGAATTATTAGTCCCTGATTTATGACTTGTTAATAAATTTTTAAATCTGTGATCTATTAATTTATAAAAAATTCAATCCTGTTGAAGACAAAGAACCAAAGAGTCAGAGTGAGTTCTTGTATCTTTTAGAGCATTGCAAGAATATGTTTCATTTAGGGATAACTCAGGTGGAAAAAATTATTCGAAAAGATAGCAGGCTATATAGGACACCTAGAGGACTTAAGTGAAGTTGAGAGAAGGAAGAGAGAGGCGATCATGTTCAGAATTGTTGAGGATGAAGACTGCAGAATGGCAGGGAGGGAGTTTTGTTTCTTTCTTCTTTCTATTAATTCTATTTACGTGGGCTAGGTAACTAACCTGAAATGTGGACTGGTACCCATTCCTCTTCCCTTGTGAAATGCCTTTGTTCCCATCCTTCGATGAGTATTAAATGAACACAACATGAGAAGCATTTTTGCTCAGAGACCATGTAAAGTACTCCAAGGAGCATATATTCTTCAGAAAACTTTGTTGTGTATTTAGTACACTTGGGAGACCTTTCTAAAAAATAGTTATCTTTTTACTTTTTGTTTTTTTTAAGAAACAAGTAGGGAAAATATCAATTAAATGGTCAGATGACCTTACAAGATAATTAAAATGGTCAAATCATCTCAATGCCATTAGTATGGTTACTTTTTAAGTTTCATTTCACTTAGGTACCTCCTTAAAAAATATGTTAAGAAAGTGACCAAAATTGCCCCCAGTTATGAGTAGAAACCCTGTAAAATTAAGGGAATTTTGGTAGTTTGGGCCACTGAAGTGGTGCAAGCCAAATGACAATAATACCTTTGGTTGTTCAGGTTTATCAATATAGAACAAGTTACAATGAAAACGTCAACCCCATGTTGTTGCTAATGTTGAACGACTGGGGGTATTATTGTAATCAAGCAGTTTAGTTTTGCTAACCTTGACCCACCAGGGGTATCATAATGATTTAGCTCTGGCCACTTAAGTTGAGCCGAATTATCAAAATGCGATTGCTTGTTCTTGTTTTCCTATCTTGAATTAGAGAATTTGGTCAATTTTTAACTTTTTAAGGAGATACCTGAATGAACTGAACCTTAAAAAGTAACTAAAATCTTATTTGGATGGAATATTGTGCAGTCAAGAAACAACATATCCATAGGATAAGTGTGGCTAAGATGGGATGTTGAGATGGATGAGTGACAAGACAAGAAAAGATGGAATTCGAAATGAATACATCCAAGGGAACTTAGGGGTGGCTCCAATAAGTGATAAGATGAGGGACACTAGATGTAGGTAGGCTGGTCATGTCAGCATAGACCTATACAACACCTGTTAGGTGGGGCAATTTGGTGAGGGGGAGAGAGAGGATAAGAGAACAAGGGAAAGAGAGGAAAAGAAGCCGGATCTGCCCTAGGTGCGGGTCTGTGACTTTTTTAGGTCGAGAGAGAGAGTGAGCAAAGAAAGAGAGAGAGAGAGAGCAAAGGGAGAGAGGGTGGAGCTCGGACCCGCCCTAGGTTTGAGTGAAGAGAGAGAAGAGATAGAGAGAGAAGAGATAGTTGAAGAAAAGAGAAAGAAAAGAGAGGAAAGAGAAAGAAGAGAGAAGAAAGAAAAAAAGAAGAAAGAAGAAAGAGAAAGGCCCAAGAATTGGAAGAATTGGGCGGCCTTCTGGCGCAACCTCTCCTAATAGGTATTATCGGAGGCAAAGGAAGGTATTAGGCTCGAAGCCTTAATACTCGGGGGTTCAGAAAGCGAAGTCATGGGCTTAGCCCATCGGAAAGTCACTAACCCAAAGAGCCTCCTAACATGTAACCAAGAAAGAGAAGATAAAAGAGAATGAAGAGAAGAAAGAGAAGAGAGAGAAAGAACAGAGAGAAGAAAGAGAAGAGAGAGGAGAAAGAGTGGACCGGGTACCTAGGCTCGATTGATGGGCAGCTAGGTGCACCACGATGGTCCTTTAAGTGTTCTTCAATATAGGCTTGAACCTTGAAGTAGAGGGTTAGGGTTTAGGTTTGGTCATGGGTGAGCATAGATGGGTTGCCGTGACTAGGGAGTATGGATTAAAGTGGTCTAAGGAGTAGGGAGTAGGTTTGGTGTAGGATAGTCTAAGGAGTAGGAAGTGGAAGGTTTGGATGTTGGGAATTGAGAGTGGAGGGTTTGGAAGTTGGGAGTTGGAAGTGGGAGGTTTGTGGGAGGTTTGGAAGTTGGGAATTAGAAGTGGGAGAAGTTGGGAGTTGGAAGTGGAGGGTTTGGAAGTTGGGAGTTGGAAATGGGGGTCCAAGGGCAATTACCCAAAGTGGTAAAGTTTTCTCTCTTCTCTCACTTGAAGTTAGAAGCTATGAACAAGCAAAGGCTTGAAGGGACAAAAACCCAATTTTTTTATTATTCTTCAGAACTTATGTTTAAAATGACTTAAGTTCTTTATATAGAGCAATCCTAAAACAAAGGTGGATTGCTCAAAAACCACCAAAATTGTCAATAAATACACATTTTATGAATTAAAATATTAATTTTTTTTTTGACCAAATGATCAAAATACCTTTCAGCACTTGTCAACAAATGACAAAACCATCCCTCCATGAGGGGCCTCGTGCCATTGCTAGGCCCCATGAGCTTTTTTCGAACACTTACAGTGGTAATTCAGGCGATCAAACGTTGTAGAATCGATACTTGAACTATTGTGCACATTTTGGTATCCTTTGATCGTCTTGAGATGGATTTTAAGGAAGACCCCAAAATCCGGCCAAATTCCATAAACTTGTGATTCTTCGACCACCAATCTGACATGATTCATGTTGTTCGAAGACTTCACTGTGATCACAAATTGAAGAGGACCCTATCGTGATCATTATGTGATAAATTTTGTCCATTTTGGTCTCCGTTTGAGCACACTCCAATTTTGGGAAGTCGCCGAAAAATGGGATTCAGGCAATTAGAAAAGTATGTCATCTTCGACCTCAAAATTCGATGTCATCCGGCCTCCGATCATTCACAAAAACTTCATTAAACTGTAGCTCTTCCAAGCACGGTCGCAATGGACCATTACTTGCGACGATCCGACATCGGGATCTTGAGCTATGTCCTTTCAAAGAATTGGATGTTATTTTTAAAATATGGATTTTCATGTTTTGAGCCCATCTTCTCTCTAGAAATTCTCTCGTTTCGGGCCACGCCATGATGCGTGCCATATGTCAAAGCGCGGGTCGTCGAGATCTAGCTCGTGTCCAAATTTGAGCTTAATTAGACCCAAAACGAGCAAGTTATGAGCATTTGAAAATCATCCCGAAATAAGAAAACACAGTTTCCATAAATAGAAACTGGTTCACCGAAGCTGCACCGCAATAGTGTAAAACCCAACATTTTATGGTAAGTTAGGCCCAGAATAGTCCCAGAGGGTTCGATTGAGTCGAAATTTGGTACCTAAATTTCGACGTTCCGGATCCAATGACGGTGGTTTGATTCTGTTTTGAGATCCAAAAAATAGGGCTATAGTTATAGGGTCCATTTTCTACATGATAGGAACTAGATTTGTAAACTGAGTTTCGTCCTGATCATCTTGTTGAAACACGGTGAGACTTTGTGAGTGTCCTCAGGGTAACCAAAACTACCCTCTCATGCAATTTGAGGCAATTCTGACACTTCTTTAGAGATCGACCAATATTAGGCGTATTGCTACAGTTTTCCCATGGTCTGGCGGTGTCTTTGGCACCGGCAGGACCAGGTTACTACCGGCTCTCTCCTTATTCGGCCCGAGGATATAAGTACGTCAAAAATGATGTATAACAGTGAGAAGTTAACTTATTATTTTGGGAAGATTACATAAAGATCCTTTTATTTTTCATTATTACAAAAATACCTAAAACTTTCCATTATTACTCATATGTCTGTTTTTTGAACTTCATAACAATTTTTTTAAAAAACAAAAGACGAAACTACCTATTTTTAGTTTTTGGAAAACTACCTATTTTCGGTTTTTCAAAAATCGAAATTTTTTAAATTTTCGGTTATTCAAAAACCGAATTTATTAGTTTTTCATTTTTTGAAAAACTGAAACTTGTCTCTAAAGGTGCAGTCAGTTTCTTCCCTCTCTAAAACTTGTCCAAATCTTGTGTTCTTTATATATTATATAATACTCACTTCTATTGCTATTACTCAAATAGAGTATTGGTAAGAGCTTACGGACCTCTTCAAGAGGTTTGGGTGTCAAATCCCGCCCATTCCATGATGGGGTTTTATTTATTTTTTGTTTTTAATTAATAAAAACAGCTATTTTTTATTAAAAAAATTATAGTGCATATGGCAGGACACAAACTTTTGATGAGAAAGCATAGAGGCAATGTATGATAACCGAAAGCTAATTCATCCCCGAGTTTAAATATTTGGGCATACATAATATTGATAAAAAATCAGTACATAGCCTCGGCCAATTAACTTGGCCGAGTCTACAAACAATAAAATTTGGTTTTTCAAAAACTGAAATTTCTTAAATTTCGCTTTTTGAAAAAACGAAATAGGTAGTTACGTATTTTATCTTTTTTTAAAAAAAAAGGGGAAAATTACGTATATATCTGTTATATTTGTTGTTATTACAAAAATACCTTGTAGTTTCCGTTATTACATATATATTCGTTTTTTAACTTCATAACACTTTTTTTTTAAAAGACGTAATTACCTATTTTTCGGTTTTTCAAAATCGAAATTAAGAAACTTCGGTTTTTGAAGAACCAATTTTCACTATTTGTGGACTCGGCCAAGTTAATTGGCTTCGGCCTATGGACCGATTTTTTATCAATATTGTGTATGCCCAAATATTTAAACTTGAGGATAAATTGGCTTTTTGGTTATCATGCATGCCTCTACACTTTCACGACAAGGGTTTGTATCCTGCGATTCGCAATCTAATTTTTTCAATAAAAATTAGATGTTTTCATTTTGTTAAAAAACAAAAGAAAAAAAGCCCCAGCATGGAATGGGCGGAATTTGATACCCAAACCTCTTGAAGAGGCTAGTATGCTTTTACCAATACACTATTTGAGTAATAGTAATTGAAGTAGGTATCGTATTATATATAAGGAACACGAGATTTGGACTAGTTTCCTCAAGCACACACAAGAGGAATGGAGCAAATAAGCACACAGGGTCATGCACAAGATAGAAACAAGGGACTTGCTCTTATTGTTCTATGCACTTGATCATATACATCTATGGATGCTTATCAAAGATCTGAGCAAAGGTTATATATAGCCCAAAGATTGCATCACACATTCACCATCATTTACTTGGCCTTTAGGCCTGCACCACCCTTAGTGCACACTACTTACTGCAGTAGTTACACCCGCTTGCGCTCCACCATCAATGATGGCCCACATGGCCCATGGCTCTTAATGCCCTCACAGCCTAGTACATGCTCACACGCCCTCTCTCACATGGCTTATGGTTGTTATACAAGCCCATGCTTGGAGTTGTTATACATTTTAAATCTGAATTCCCGGACTTAAGTTTAACCATAATCTGCACAACCAGGTGTATGCTCAGCGATTCTTTGACATGGACTTTGCCCATTTCTAGGCAGGTAACTGCCCATGGTCTAGCCAACCCAGCCTTAGCCTGTTAGTCTCGATGATCCACCAAGTCCCATTGACTTAACCATCTGTCAACACCACTTGCTCAAGGCCTCTCACCAAGGGTCTTTTGCTAGAGCCAATATGTTGTTCGTGCAACATGCTGCACGAGCATTGCCTCCCACTAAGGTCAGTCAAGGCTGAAGGTACCCCTCCTTAAAGGTTTGTCGGTGGATCTAGCCAGCCAGACGAGAGAGTTAAATCTCTAAAGCAGCACAAGTTCAGATAGGACCTTAGTTGTTGGGGTCATGATCAAGAGTGGGGGTTCGTGAAAGGCTAGAAGATCTTTATGGTTGGGAGCGTCTTTTGTACAATCCATATGTTAGGGGTCAAGATTTGCAAATGTAGGGATCTCAATTCCAACTTTTTGAGGATCTTGATCCAGCCTTTTGTGATCTCTATCCTAACCTTTTAGGGATCTTGTTTCCAACTTTAAGAGTATATATAGTCTTGGACCATATACTCTTTAAAGTAGAAATTTCTTTATTTATAGCCAGCAAGCAATGAAAACTATATTAAAAGTATAGTTGCATTGCTAGTTGACTAAAAATAAAGAACATCATCAGTTTGGTTGTTGTTTCGGTCTCTAAGGTGGGGACCGAGATTCTGGAGTGGGATTTTCACCTAGGTTGGGAGATCCTAGCAACTATATGTAGGACTTGGTGGTCCTTCATTAGGAGGTTTTGTGCCCTCACTAGCCCACATGCATAACACCAAGGAAATGGGTCGAACGCGAGATATTTGCAAAGAACCAAGGTGAATTGGGCAGATCATGAGCTGGCTTGCCAAATCCCATTAACCATGCAAGGGAGACTTATCTAGACTCTAGGCTTATAAATCTAATGAGATAGTTGTGAATTTACGTGTCAAGCTGAGGAGGTTTATCAAATCCTTTAGCTCCCTATTTGTTGCTGGATTTTAGTCACTTAAGTTTTAATTCAATCTATCATTAACAGGAGATGTTCGTCATCACTTCCACCATTGTCTTTGTCAAGCAATCATGGCTCACCCTCATTTGCTGTTGCTACAAAATGTGCTAACTGTTTAATGTTCAGGTGCTGATCTTTCTGATGCTGATCTTAGAGGTGCAGACTTCTCATTAGCAAATGTCACAAAGGTGCTTTGGTTCGTATATTTTTATTAATTCTTAAAATTTCCATATAAGGGTCTCAGATCTCATGTTATGTTATTGTTTTCGTAGTTTATTTTTTATTCAGTATAATTTTCACTGCTACATACTTCTTTGGTTTCATCTCTCTTTGCACTTTTTTATTAGTTGATGATCTTCATAGAAAAGGGAAGCAGGAAGTAGTACACAATTTTCGCAAGGAAAGCAGATTTTATTTATTGATAGTCTATGATGGCGTGAAATACAGTAACCATTACACCACCCTAGTAGAACCTTGATTTTCTATACTATCTGCCCACTGAAATTTGTTGCTGTTGTTACAACTATACTGTCCACAACGGGTACCAGAGAGAGTCAATAATTCATGAATAACCTTGCAAGCTTCTGGGAAATATGATTGTCATGCTTATCCACCAGATAACTTTGATGTATTATCCTCAAGGCTCCTCATAGCAGGTTTTCAAAAGCATAATTACTTACAAACAGTTCCCTTTAACATTGAATAAGAGCAGCTTGGTAGGCTGTTATGGCCACTGTGGGTCTCTATGTTGCCATTTCAGTTGGTGTGTATACTTTCGAGAATCTCTGATAAGAGGCCCTCCCCGTGTTGCTTTAGGATTTTGTTAACATCTACTCCATTAAAAAGAAATTGTTTTCACTTATTTCCAAACAACTCCATTCTTTAATGGAATTGTTGGACTGCTCAAATGGTGCCCAAGTAAACAAAGGACCTCCTATATGGGTCTCTTCAAAATATTAAAACATGTTTGAAACTAGATATTCATAGCCCCATCTATAAGTAATCGAGTGGAAACTCAAAGTCACATACAGAAATAAGAAAAAATGATTTTCTGATGGACATAGAAAACACATCTACAATGCATGGGGATCTGGGATAATGAAAGGTTTTCATATGCTTTGACTTCGCAAGACTTGATCGTTTCAGTACAGGAGTGAAAATGATCTAAGTGCATAAAACTGTTTAGTTCAAATGTTTAGGTTATTATGAGAAACAAAATATGCGTATATAGCAGTCATGGATAAGTAGGGAAAGATTAGTATAATTCAGTGGACTGGGGATAAACCATCCTATTGGGTATCGCCAGCCACGATAGACTGTGATGAAGAGAGAGTTGGAACCCACTATTAGGTTCATGTCTTTGTTCTAGCAGGTCCTGACCTCTCTGTCACCTTCATTCTTATTGTTGATGACTCAATAACCTGTGATTCTCCATGGTCCATTACTTTCCATTGCACTTATGTGATGTGATGTTTAGCAGGTTGGCGTAAGTTTGAGGGATAACTTCTTGAATACCTTTTGTTACCTTTTAAAAAGATCAAATAATAAAAGAAAGAACTAGGACGGGGTGTATCACCTTGGCCCCAATAGGGGACTTTAAGGAGGTCCCTTGAACCTGCCGCCTCAACAAGAACATGAATGGTATATCACCTGGCGCACTAGCCTCTGGTGCGGCAACTATGGATCAGTGGACCAGGCAGATATACCATTTCATTATTCATGCACTTACGTATACTTACACATGCATATCAAATTTTTTTATAAGTACACCTATGTCAGTATGTATATGTGGATATATGCATTCGTGAATGCATGCATGCATTTATATACGTGTGTTGCATGTTTCAATTATGCGTTTTAGAAATCGATGGGATGAACTGAAATCACCTGGTTCGATCTGATTCCCATGATTTTTTTATTTTTTTATTTCAAGGAAATTGAACGATTCTGGGCTTTCGTGGACCCATTCCCCCCCCCCCTATTTCCCCCGATCGCAGATCGAACCAGGTGATTTCAGGTCGACCCACAGATTCTAAAATACTGAACTGAGACATGCATACACATGTATGCACGAATGCTTACATCCACACATATATATTGACATCGGTATACCTATAAAAAAAATTGATATGCATGTGTACATGTATGTGTGTGCATTCATATTTATATGTATAGATAAAATGGTGACTTGAAGTCTTTTGGCATGTATTATGATACCCAAATTCCACAATTACATCAATTCTCATAATCCATAAAAAATGGTCACTGGTTTTTTGTTTCGTCTGTCTCTGTGGATTAAAAGGTGACAATGATCGAATCAAAGTATTCTATTTTGATGGAATGGGATTGCATGACAGAAATAAATTTTGTTCATTCTACTCGAATTTTTAACCAGTGTTTCAAGATTTAGAACTGGGCCCTGTCTAAGCAGGGTTGTATCTTGAGTCCCCCCTCGTCCACTTGGGCGAGTCTGAATGAAACCATTTTATATTGAACATAAAAGATTTTAAAAATACTGGAAATCTAGGAGACTTGGGTGATTCCAGAGTTTTTCGGCCCGGAATCCCCGGCCTAGGTTCTAATCCAACTTGGGCGATTCCTGAGTTAGCAGTCGATTTTGGAAACGCCGTTTTAACTGGCTATGTCTTTCCAGGCAAATTTGACCAATGCAAACCTGGAGGGAGCACTTGCAACTGGCAACACATCTTTCAGGGGTTCAATCATCACTGGTGCTGGTATATTACATTCCTTTTGAGCTAAAAAATTGTAATCATTTGGTTCACAATTGTTCATCAACTGGGTTAAAAATACTATCAAATCTTTATTTGTCCAGATATCAAAACTTTCTTCTTTCCTTTGTTATTAATTGGAATCCGGTAACTGACTGGTGTAACTTTTTTACTTATATCAACCTGGTTTTGCATTAGGGTCCGTTTAAACACCCTTCCTTGCCCAGCAATAAAAAAATTGTATTTATTTTCTGGTTCAAATATCAGTATCCTTCCTGTGCCATGCCCTTAAATACATTCTGATCTTTTAGTAAAAGTACGGAACTTAGAAGCATATTAGCTTTGCAATGACTGCAGCTTTATTGCACCATAAGGAGGTAAAATTTGTTCATTGATTTCAATGTTCAGGTGGTAAGTTTGCTGGTTACAAATTGAAATTTCTGCATCTTTGAGTTTCAAAGTCTATATGCAGTCAGTGTTTTGGATGCCTTTAACTGATCATCTTGTATGTTGATAGACTTCACAGATGTACCTTTGAGAGAAGATCAGCGTGCATATCTTTGCAAATCTGCAGATGGGTAAGCACTCTTCCAGAAAAATAGGCCTATATAACTCAGTGGAAGATGGAAAAATCTTAGTCTCTGGGTCGTCACTGTCCAATGAAATGACAGATGGTGGGGACAGATGGTGGGCACATTGGGTTTATGCTCGTTGTAATGGGTCCCCACTCTCTGCATCGCCATCCGTCATTTGATTGGCCATTGCTCACCAAATGGACTTTGATTTTCAGACTCCAATGGATTATAGTATTCTTTCCCAAAAGAAAATATGGATTGGATCTAAGAACCAATTGTTTGGTACTAATCATCCTATTTCTAACTTCAATCGCACTCATTGTACATTTTCAGGATTAACCCCACAACAGGTAATGCAACTCGAGACACGTTGCTCTGCAACTAATATTCTGAGGAAGGTCTTTCTTTCTAAGGTATTTGTGTACTACAAATGGAAAAAGATTATATGATTGTTTGTGATGGATGTACATGTGCATGAATGACTGATTTATTTATTCATTCATTTGATATCTTTAAAGGTAAGGGAGAAGTTTTCTTAGAAAGTTCTGCCTGAGAGAGAGAGAGAGAGAGAGAGAGAGTTTTGGAAAAGTCCCATTTGGAAGTAGTGCAATGTGTGTGCACTAGGCGACGGCACTTGCTCATGGTAAAGCAAGGTGAGGGCATTTGGTTAGCAGGATACATTGTTCATGTGTTTAGGCAAAGCTATGCTCTCATTGAAGTTCATTGGTGAGGACCTCGATGTATTAAAACATGAATGCTGGTGATTAAGAAGAGAACCATAGCCTGCTTTCACGGGGATAATACAAGCAAAGATCGGAAAATATGGAATATCGATGGCACATTTGTTTCATGGAAGATTATAATTTGAAAGTTATTGTTCTCGTATTTGTTATTTTTCGTGAGAAACTGGTTGTTATTGTAGTAGCTGTGAAGTGATTTTTCGGCTTTTCTCCAGCTTTATGTATTTGGCAGCTTCATGTCTATGTTGGTGTGAAAGTGCTTTCTGAGGCTAATACAAAAGCTAATGGACTTTTGCAGGATCCTTAGAAAGCATCTTCACAAGAAACAATACTATCAGTAAATCTCGTTTTTATTTGGAATAGTGATGACTCAACTCATTCATTAGGCAAAAGTATGATGTAAGATTCTACACATATCCTGGTTTCTTTAGACATTTAATACTGGAAATGTTAGTATGGGGCCTAGGTTTTACAAGTGACAGTGTACTTCAAAAGCCTGCCAAAATATGTTGTTATATTGTCGGGAAACTCCTAACATTGGTCATCTTGACTTCAATAATTATAGATCTAAAGGGAAAAAGAATGTTAAACTGGTCATCTTGTTCTAATGCATAGGACCATTCTTTTTAATAATTGAGGTAATTTATAGAGATAAAAAAAAAACGCATTACCCAGTCTGGTTTTGGATTCAATGAGGAGAGGAGGATGAAGATTGGGTTAGTTTGGGACGATGGCAGTAATGATCCATTGCTTGTATTGTATGTTGATTTTTGTTAACAAATGCGCATCTAAGAACATGAATAGAAATTTCCCTGCTGCATATTATTTGCTTCTGGAATTGACATGGCCAATGAGCATCTTATTGAAGAGAATCACCTAAATGAGGGATTAAAGAGGGGTGATTGGTGCATGTTTTATGAGATTTTAGGATGGAGACTCTTCTATGTCAAGACGTTAAACTCAATACTTTCATGACTTTCAGGACCCTTCTATGTCGAGGTTTTATTTTCCTTTCTAAGTCAACGATTTGGTAGGTGTTTATCCATGTTAGGAAGTAGATTATTTTCACAGGAAGTAATGCGAAGGTACTATGGCTGCTCTAGGAGCATGGGAGTTTGTATCATAGCCTTTTTTTTTGTTTTTGCCAAAAAAGCATTATTTTTCAAAATGGTGGACATAATAAATCAGTCTTTGAATTGAGCGTGAGTCTGAGTGCGAAGGGAACTTTGTAGTTTTTTCTGGTTCATAATGACCTGCAATGACTATGAACCAAATTTAACCTGGAATCCTAAGATGGAAATCTAGTACATAAAGAACATGCCGAAAATCAGACAGAGAGTGAGGATGCATGGAGAGAATCCTGTCAGTTTTCGTAGCAGAAGAGCAAGTACAAAGAGTTGTGGGCTTCTCTCTAAACTCTCTTTTGTCCCCTCTCTATCTTCTCATGTACATCCAAAGATGAGATATGCAAACAAGACGATTTCCAAACACATAAATTAAACGGTACATCCAAAAATGGGATATACAAACAAGACGATTTCCAAACACATAAATTAAACGATTTATTAAAATCAAATTACTCTTTTTATAAGAGGGAATGGCAATTGATAGCTCCTAATTATGTTGAAAGCTCACAAAGGAAGGGCATCAAAATCCTCTTTTCCCTTTTATTTAACTATCCAATTCTTCACCTAACAAAATTAAGAAATACACTAAATATTAATCTTTATTTTTAATGATCAACTCGACTAAACCTATTTATGAACCATCAACTTTGCAATCCTAAGGATCAACAATGACTCTTAACATCAATGACCTTGAAGTGGTTTATCTTGTAGTGGACTGTCCCAACTTGAAGAAAGTGTCTACGATTTTGAGAAAAATTCTATTGGCTGTAACCTTTTGGATGATACAGAGAGTGCGTATTGAAGGTATTAGTTTCGAATGTGAATCACATTAAATCGGATGTTATTGCTATGGTAGAGTCATGGGGGAATTTGTGGGGGTCACCAAGGACGAAATTATGTTTAATACAAAGTTAATTGCACAAAGAGGGAGGGAGGGCATTGGCAATCACGTTTAGAAGCTCAATCTTGATGGGAGTTTAATTGGTAATACCCACATGTTTTAAATATTGGTGAACTGGATGGGAACCGACTGGTTTGGATTGGGAATCATCAAGGCCAATAAAGTTTTGCTTAAATACCAAGAATTGGTCCCACTTTTTTTTAAAATACTTTTCTTCTTTTTTCTGTTCCTTAATATTTTTTATTTTTAATTGTCGGTTCTCTAGGCTGGATCGTCGATCTAGACTGTCGATCTCCCAATCCTAAATGGTTTTCCGAATGGGCGATCTAAGTTACCAAACCATATTTTTAAACCCTGAGAATACCATATTTCTTATGCACTAGTGTGGGAGGTATTCTAAAAGACGAAAGAGGTAATAATGAAGCCAAAATCAATACTCTTTTGCAGGGAACGACACGTTAAACAGTTGCATATCACAGAGGTTACAGTGGAGGGGGATTTGGGAGGTTTGTCTGGGTAGGAAAACGTTTATGCAAGGTTACAACCTTATAGTAGAAGTAATGTGCACCTAAAACAATAGTAGAAATAAGTTTTCTAAAGTTGCAAAACCCTCCTATTATCATCTCGATCTTGAGATGTATGGGTATGAAAAAAAAAAAAAAAAAATTCAATTTTAAAAATAGTGTATCTCGTAATAAGTTATTTAGACGGTTTATTTTCAAAATTTTCAAATGTATAGAGATTTTTTCGATATGTACCGTTTTCAAACATTTTAAATTTTGGGTTAAACATAGATTTCAATATATTGTAAGGTTTCCGAGGAAGCAACCATATCTTCTAGCAAAGTTTAGAGACACACCTTACTTGTATACTATGAGGTGGTCATCTTATACGAACCCCACCCGTGTTGCTATCAACACGTACCAGAAAACATCTATAATTATTTTAAGGTTTCTACAAAATATAAAGGTAATTGACCGCATTATACACTTTTTTATATTTTAAAATTGGAAAAAATTTATATAGAGCTGATGCTCTAAACAATCAAATTTGAACCTACCTAAAAAATTTCACTAGAAGAGATTGTTTTGATGTCCAAATATCCTCAAATTGATCATCTCGACATCAAAATGTATGGACATGATAAAAAAATGGATTTCAAGTTTTTGAAATAGTGTATTTTTGTAACGCATTTTTGGACGGTCAATTTTCAAGATTTTCAAGTTTTCATAGAACTATCGATCTACACTATTCTTTAAGCTTTAAACTTTATAAATAAAATGAAAATATATTTTAAGGCTATCACAAAGATTTTCAATATTAAAACCATATTTTTTAATACTATTTGAAAGTAAGCTCTAATTTGATTATTTAGAGCCTAAGCTCGATACAAACCGCACCCTTTAAAATAACATTTGAGCTAAAATATTCAAAGCTCCCAAAAAAATAGTACAACCGGAAGTATGGCTTAGGATCACGACTACCCCCGAGAGAGAGAGAGAGAGAGAGAGAGAGAGAGTCTTGCCCCATAATAAT